AGAGAATGCCCGAGAACACACGCGTTCACCCCGATCTTGTTCCACATCTATGTGCTGCGAGAGACTTATAGAGAATGCCCGACTCACCCTGTCATGTGGAGTTTGTTTTAATGCAACTGCTGACTCATGCGAATGCGCGGAGAACATTCATGAGGTTCAATTGATAATGTCATTACCACTTGACCCTTGTCTTCGTCGTTAGGATCCCTACGAATCCGACCCATACCAACCCCAGCAGCCATCGAGTTCGTAGATTCACGAACTACACAACAGCAGCGTTCCAAACCTGTAAATGTCAGGGCGCCGAGCCCACACCTACACTTACACCCTAAACCAGACCTGCAGACCTTACCGATTGCAAAACTCATTGGAAGCAGCCCGAGGAAGCCCTTGGGTGATTCTGAGCAGTCTGCAGCAGAGGTGGAGGTAGCTTTGCGTCTTGCAAGACTCAGGCCGTTATGCGAGGCACGATAATGACGGTGGTGGTGAATGATGCGCGTGGCGTCGATGCCCAGATTTGACCAATGCTATCGCTGTGGCATGTGGCAGGGGAAGATGAAGATGCCCTGCGAACGCTGTCGCAACCCTCCCAGTAGCTGGTCGCTTTCGGCTTTCGACTGGAAAGTTTCCGTCTTCTCCGGGGGGCCCCGTTGCAGTGACAATCGCTGCTGAAGATCTGAAAAAAGCCCGACCATACGATTCCCTTGTGCTGTCGCTTTATCTGAATTTGCCGTATTGGGCACACACTCAGGTACGTAGCACGTGCTGTGCCCTAAACCCTAAACCCGATGGTATTTGAGCTCAAACCGGCCATTGAGCCCCAACGCCTTTGGGCCCTCCGCGTAGTAATGATGCAACTGGCCATTGCTGCTGTGGCCTACCTTGAGCTCATCCTTGAGGCCAGGCCGTTTGTAACACCATCCGACATGACCTGGCACAGTCCATCAATAAACCCGATTTTCTTCGAGCAAGAGCACGAAAGCCTGCGAAAGCCAACTGATCCAGCAAGAAAAAAAGGCGTGCCTCGACCGTAGCCAGCTTTTTGCAATTTTCTCCCTGTGCCGTTGGCTGCGCAGGCAAGCTCCTACAAGTTTGCCACGGAGCCACATGAGCCACTGCGCCAGCGGTTCGTGTGCATTTGCCCTGCCTGGCAGCCATAATGATTCCTTCTCTAGTTCAATAGTGCATTGCAGCACCTGCTCAAAAACGTTCAGTGGTCGACAATCCGTCTTGGGTTTAAGCCAAACCATGTGTTTCACTGCGTGTTTTCTACTTTCCAGTGGTCGACTTTGGGTTTGTGACGTAGGCGTGGCTCGGGTCCGCTTGCGTGCATTGACCCACATAGGTCGTTCATGCAGCTAGTGGCTGCGTTTGTATAACGGGGGCTTGCTTTCCGTTGTTTGTTTCCACATTGTGCAAGGCTGCTCATGTACTGCGATCCTAAAGAGCACGGGCGTGAAGAGGTTTGGCAGCTAGTTGTCTAGCCCATTGCTCGAGGAGCGCTTCCGAAATCTGTGACAGCAGATCCATGGGATGTTCTGTCCTTGGCCTGCTGCGATCTTCTAAGAAATCCCCAGGATCCTAAGGTTAAGCACAACGGGTCAAACTCGATATCGCAACCTGCGATTAGCACCGGGTCGGACAGCTCAATCCGGGACTGACTGCCTAGTCAACAAAGATAAGCTCAGGCTGTGTTACGATGAGACGCCCGACTGCCAGCAGCTGAAAGACCTCTGGGGTTGTGCAGGCACTTGGCGCCAGAAGCTTGGACCTTGCAGGAAGATCCACATGGTCACAGGCAAAGCGCAGCAATGAATGGATGAGACATGTTGCTCGTGTTGGTGAATAGCAGAAGGGGCAGAGCAGCATGTGAGAGCACGATTCCACTGACGGCGCTTCGCTTCAGATTTTAAATGCAAACCCATAACCATGAGCTTCGAGAGTACAAGAATTAATATACCTTGCTTCTCTTCATGTCCTTCACTTGCTTCTGTTTCTTCTCCTACATGGTACATGTAAATGCACAGAGAAATTAAACAGAAAGAAAAGCCTGATTAAGGACATGAACGAACGAACCACTCACGTGCTCTTCTTTTATGTGTGGCTCTGTTTTAATTATTTGGAAAGGGAAACGCAAAAGGAACCAGATAAGATAAAGCAGTTCTCTTGCACAGTTCAATTCACCTCTCCTCTCCTGGTGTGGGTTGTGTGTGGAATTTCGGTTCCTTGTTTAATTAAGAATAGAAAACGTGACCCCTGCGCGCCCACCCACACACACACCCCTCCACACTGTACAGGATTCTTCTTTTCTGCTCTTTCTCTTTCTATCCTTTTTGTTTCCTTTAAATATCTTTTACGATTTTCTCTTTCTGGTGTCTTTTCCAAGCAGGGCTTGAGCCAGAAAGCGGAAGCAGGTTCTGTGGCACCTGCATGTGAGGTACGTGCGGAAGCAGGTATCCGCTTTGCAGCTGTCTTGGGAAAACCGCTCCCGCCGTATCGTTTGAGGAAAGCCCAGCCGCTCTCTTCGTGAGCCGCATAAGATTGGGGGTTCCTGGTGTCGAATTTGTGTCAACCAAGGAAGTGTCCGGGAATCCAGCCTCCAGGAGGTGAGGGCGAGGCTGCACTGGATGTCACTGTGGCAACAATTTGCCCCGTCGACTGCCCTGACGGTGAGGGGGAGGCCAGAAGACTCAAAGTGGCTAGGGCCTCTGCCCTGGGTTTTTTTAGCCAGGAATTCCCCAGGTGGCAAACGTAGCTGGTGCATCTTCCGGCTTGTGCATCGGCTGGAGGCTCTACCGCAGCAGACCATGGCCAGTGTAGCTGCATGCCAGGGCTGGAACTCTTTGCTCGCCAGAGTACTGGAAAGAGGGAGAACTCCCTTAAACGCACAGACTTGCAACACTAAACCCCTAAACTCTTCAACCCCCACACCCTAAACCTCTAAAGTCGTCCCGGTACTGACAACCAACTAGGGGCCCTCTGACTCTGAACAGCAGCACTGCCAGGCCACGGTGGATCGCGTGGTTCAGGTTGGGGTGCCCAAAAACGGAAGAAGCTGTTCTAGGGTTCAGGGGTTTAGGGTTTAGGGGTTTAGGGTTCTTCAGCTGAATTACTTCAGTCGAACTGCAAGCTCATGAGATGATCGAGGTTTTGTGATCTTCGTGGTGAGTGGTTTAGGCTTTAGGCTTTAGGGGTTAGGTCCCCATCCATGCCATATTGACTTGATCTGATACTTATGAGCCACCATGGCGCAAATACTTGGCCTCGAAGCTATCTGCATCGGCGTCACCAGTGTGCGTATGGGGGGGCTTCCAACATGGAGGGGAGGTACCTCATAGGGCCAAAATCCCGGAACCCTTAAACCCCTCTGCCTCCTTGCGAGTGTGTGAGTCGAAACCCCTAAATCTCGGACGCTGTATGCCATGGCTGCCTGGTGCGGGTGTGTGTGTGAGTCGAAACCCCTAAACCCTAAACCCGATACTAAACCCTAGAACATCTCAAAACATGACAGGAATTGCACAAAGTGAAGCAAGTGGCTTTAATAAGTTGTAGGGTTCCCCTAAACCTGAATCCCTAAACCTCAAACGCGCCCGCCAACCCCTCTTCCGAGCGCAAGGTTGTGCGGGCGCTGCCGAGTGCTCAGCGAGGCCTTGGCAAGCTTTGCTGGAGCTGCAAAGCTTGCCGGCCGACACCCCTGTAGGGTAGTCGCCTCGTCCCTCACAAACCGCTCTGATCGGTCTATATGTTGTTGGCCCAGGCTTTTGAGCCCTACCCAGGGAGGCTGCCAGGGAAGCAGCTTGCAGACGCCTGGGGCTCGATTCCAATTCCTCTTCCTGGCTCCCTCTGGCCTCTTCCTGGCATCTTCTTGGCCTCTTCCTGGCCGCTTCCTGGCCTCTTCCTGGCCTCTTGGCGTCTTCCTAGGCTCGCCCTGGGTGGGACGGCTATTTTGTCACAGCTTAAGCGACATGGCCTCTTCCCTGGCGGCGTGCTCTCGTGGCGAAGGCCTGCGGGTCCTCCAGCTTGGCGGCTGGGATGGTCGCGACGCATTCTCACTTTCATTTGTTTCAGTGACTTGGTTCCGGCTGACTCAGCGACATAAAGAAGATCTCCTAGCCTGCCCGGCGCCTAAACCTTGGGGTGGGCTTTGTCCGCAACGCCATGGGTGTGCAAAGGATGAGGGGGGTCGAACAAAAAAATCAAATCGATAGCACCCCCGTGAAAGGGCCCACACCCGGACCGGTGAACACCCTAAACCCTAAACCCTAAACCAAAGAAGCTTAAACCCAACCCGGAACGCGGCCCCCCCCCCCCCCTGCAGGAGGAGATGGCCAAGGCCAACGGTTCCGCTCACATCGACCAACAAGAGGCGTCAAAGATCAACACAATGCTGACCTGCTTGAGGCCACCGCCTGAAAAGCACGGCTGAAAGTTACGACCGGTGTCCAGCATATCTTAAAAGAAAACTCTGTGGTTTTGTTTTTTGGGCAGCTTCTCGTTCGCACTTCCGCCAATCTGCTGAGTCTCTCCCCTGCAAACATGCCTGCCTGCCTCTGGCGGCTTGTCATTCGTAGGAGTCATCTTGTAAACGGCTATATTCAAGCCACACTTTCGCCACATGAGACGGCACATCACCGCGATCTGAAACTAATAAGCACCTTGGCCTCCTACTCCGAACCCGGACCCCTGGCAGGAAGAAGATGAAAGCCGCCCAAGAAATGCAGAACTTGGCGGAGACCAAGGAACTCCTCGCAGTGATCCGAGGCGAATCATCCACATCCTGATTAGCTCCGCCTCACATTCCCCTTTTCGAGTTCCCAAAATGCATGTCCTGAAATCACGGAAAGCGTTGCCATCGAAGCGCATGAGAATGAGTCCAGGCGAGACTGCTGCGAAGATCAAGCCAATCAAGGACAATCAGACTGCTGCGGCTGTGGATATGAGTGCTCGCGACGCTGCCCATCACCTGGTACAGAAGGAGCCATACAGTGACAGTGCTGTTTTAAGAGCGTTCTGTTTTCCCACCCTGGACATCTCAATGATGGTGGAGACGTGCATTGAGGAAAGTCACAGCGGGATACCCGGGTAGGATCATTTCTTGGTTGCCTATTCAGCTTTTGAACCCCCCTTTGAAGTTGAAGAAGTCCAGCCTATGTCTGAGCATGGAAAGGCCACTGTTTCCCATCATAAAGATTTGCTGATCAGCTTCTTAAATGGACCCTAAGCCCTAAACCAGGTCCAGTGGTAAGCCCACTGGGAAGTCGGGAGGCTTTTGACCCTGCACCTGCATCGCAGGAGTTCGAGAATGATGAAAAGGCAACTTGGGGGGTCGCAAGGGGATTCGGGTTTAGGGTTTAGGGTTGGCTCGTAATTTAGCGGACCTAGCCAGTCGTAGTCCGTCGCTGCAGCTACTGTTTGTGCGGGGCTTTTCCGCGGGGTTGCCCAAGTTTCTTCAGACCAAGACCAAAGAGCTTAAGCCTGAAACTGTGACTGCGCCTCTAACCGAGGTTAGCTGTGCGTTGGATAAACACGAGAGCTTTGCGCGAACTGAACTGAACTCGGGCAAGCCGCTCTCCGGCGCACACCAAGGCGCTGCAGAAGATTAAACTGACCCCAAAGGCCGTGGAGAACTTTGCCGACGAGGCACACACCGGGAAGCGGTCTTAAGGCTGAAGGTGCTGGGGAGGAAAGGGCCCTGAACTACGCCCCTGAGGGAAAGTCGGTAGGAGTTCCTGCGCACCATGTTGATGTGGAGTCAGAGTCTCAACTACTACTTAAGGCGAATTGAGCCTACACTAAAGGTGTAGAAACAAGGGTCTCATTAATGCATCTTGTGAATCTTCAAGCGAGCTTTCCGGCATGCCGACAGGGCCCTGGGATGGTCTCCTGGGGTTTAGGGTTTAGGGTTTAGGGTTTCTGCTTCCCCGTCCGACTACGCCAGGTTGAAGCTCTGGCAACGATGTGCAAGGCCTCCAGACTGCGGTCTGGTTTGGTTGAATTTTGATTGTTCCGAGCAAGCAGACTATCAAGAAGTGTTTTTTCACTAGAAGCATGCTATGGCTTGGGACCTAATTGGCAGGAGGAGTCGAATTACATGTCGTCGTTCGGGTACGCGCTCAGATACAGTCTGAATCCATCAAGTGACCTTGGCCAAGTCTATGACAGCAAAGCGCAGTTTCGTTTTGACATGCCCATCGTGTGCGCGCGAGAGGGGCATGTGTTTCAGCACACCTCTTTCCTGTGTTGTGCGGTTGAGGGCCCCCCTGCGATTTTGACTGGGCAAGCTTGCCAGTGACAGTGACGCCGGTGTTGCTTCTTGAGCGCCAGTGTGTCCGCTCCGCTCTGCCACATGCGGTGGTAGCAAACCCAAACCTCACACATGCAGTGCCAGGACGCTGCGGAGGCTGCTGCTATTCGCAACGCAGCTTCAGAGCACCACTTTTTGTCCTGCCTTGCAAAGGCATAGTGGCGTTCGGCTTGCTATTCAAGCTCGAAGGTTCAGAGCACTTAAAGCACCTGTCCCATCTGTATGATTCGTGGCATTTAAGCAGTGGGACTTCCTGGTGTCATGTTCCTGCTTGTAGCTGGCAGCCTACTGTAGTTGTGTTTCTGTCCGCAGGAGCACATGTTTTTACAAGATCTGTTGCGGTATCAACCCTGCCGATGTAAACCCGAAAAACCCTAAACCCTAAACCTATATTCTTTGTTCAGCCCTGGATCTGTGGGAGTTTATATTTTTTTTAAAGCCGCCCGCGAGCACCCAAACCATCCCAAATCACGGGTCTCAGAATTGTGACACCCTAGGGTTTAAGGGTTTGGGGGTGAAGGCTTAGGGTTTAAGGGTTTAGGGTTTAAGGAAAAAGGGGTTTAAGGGTGTAGGGTTTAGGGTTTAATTAGGGTTTCGAGTTTAGGGTTCATGATGGTCTTGGGGACCTTCCGACGAGCCCGGGATCTCCGAATGCCCCAAAGGCAAGCTGCAAGAAGCTGCATTGACCTCGATCAACGAGACTCTTGGGGGCGTTTTGGCAGTGTTTTGCCTTTTTGGAACTGCTTCTGCGACATGGTATAAAGGTTAGAGGAGGTTTGGTCTTGTTAAAACAACTTTTTGTTGTCGAGTTGTGGAACTGAGACTGATGCAGGACCTTGTTTCAAGACGGGACCTTGTCATCACATTCGGGCCTTCGAGCATGCAAATGTTTCAGAATCTTCGGCTCGGGCGCGGCAAGTACCCTTAGAGTCTAAGGCTTCTTGGGACTGGTTGTGTTGGGCATTGAAACCGCTGGCTGCAGCATGATAAAGGTGACGTGGAATTGCTGATACTGTCATGCAAGACTGCCGCAGCTCGACTCAAGCATTTGCACAAAACGGGTCATAGCTCGTTGGGGGCAGGGGAGGGGGGGAAGTTTCGCACGGCTTGCTAACGGATCGCGTGTGATCGCGTCACCTTTGATTCCTATGTGGTCTGCGTCTCATGGGACAAAGTGTCACCAGGAATGGGAAGGCCACCAGCGTGGAAGCCGCCGCTACGGCCGATGGTATCGCAGAGAATGTGAAAGAGAAATGCCACGTGAGGACATGCATCACATGGTGCATTAGCTTCAAGAACTCAAGATCTGGTAAGAATCTTGTAGCGCTCGGAGCCCTTTATGCCGCGCTGAGGGCTATGCAGTTTGAGGCATGTCCCAAACAGCATATATAACATATAAGTCTTACAAGTCATATAAGACAAAAACGCACAGGCCACCCGTCAGTTCACGCGCCAGAAATTGTACTCAGCTTTGGGAGGCCAGGGCCGCATAAGACCTTCAAGTTCAAGAGGAATGCCGATGCGCAAATCTCTTTTTGCCCAGACATGCTTCAACAAATACCATAAGCTTGGCTCGGAACTCTCCAGCGCATGGGTCTCTAGGACCCTGAACTTGGACTTCTTCGTGGAGCACGCCTCCATGCTGGCCGGTGCGCACTGCGGCAGCTCCTTCCTGCAGGACTGGGGTGGAGGATGGCTGGCAATGGTGGGTTTTGGGTTTGGGGTTTAGGGTGGTAGATCATGGCTCTCGGTCTCGGAGGAGCATCACATGAAGCAGGCCGCCGATCACATTAAGGAGCTGCCACTTGGCTAGGCCAAGAGGGTGAGGGCCCGTTCCGGCTGTTGGGTCCGTTTCTGTGAAGCAAGCTCTAACGAACATCTCAAAATGCTTTTGCTTTTCATCGCTGACATCACGGGCATTTCCCTCGGCTGTTCGTTGCTTAAAACGCTTCCCAGGAACTTCAAGGCCAAAGCCGCCATGGCCCTGCACGATGACTCCAACCGGCTCGGGCATCACATGGCGCGCCGGGTTTAGGGTTTAGGGTTCGGGGTTTCTTTGGCCCTGAGATCCAAACAGGTGGGGGGGTTCCTTTTTCAAGCCTGAACCATAGGATTGCATGCAGGCAACTCAACTCAACATCTGACAGCCTTTGCCATCGTGTAATCCTGTTGGCTGCTAGGCCCAGCGGAAAAACGCCTTGTCTTAGTATGCTGGTTGCCTGGAAGCTCTCATGCAAACTGATGGAGCCAGTGCCCTAATTGAACAAGGGCGCTGAGATCGTCAAACTTTGCAGGTGCAGCATTTGCGACGGCACACAGAGCATTCCGGGAAGGACGAGCATCGCCCCTCCATCTTTCTGTGGCTCAGCCTCGAGTCAGCTCTGGGCTTTTGCGTGCCTTCCAACACCACAGCCTGAGTCAAACAGAGTCAATGTAATGCCGGAAACTTCCGCCGTAAGCAGACTTCGTTAAACATGCCGTGCGCAGGACTAGCTAGCCAGCTAGTAGAGGGAATCTCTGCCACAGCATTCAGTGGTGCAAGGTGCTCTTGGGCAATATGCAGTTTTCATATTAAAGCTTGAGGGTGAGAGGGCCGCGGATGTAAGATGGTGTCCGAGCCAGACATTGGTGGAACGGGATTCCTAGCCAGTCGGGTTCATGACGAGGCTTGCATTTTTTAGCTCTTGTGCCTTGTGAAAACTCCGTGGAGGGACAGACTGACTATTGTCTCGAGTCTGAAAGAGTGATCACACCAAGACCTGACCCGAAAGAACTGCGATGGTTTCTCGGACCTTCAAGACATTTGAAGAAACCGAGGAACAAGACGCTGACCAGCCTGGTGCACGAAGCTGCCAAGGCACGCTAAACTGGCCGTGCCCCTCCCCCCCCAAGCCAGGGAAGCTAAGTCAACCAACGCACCAGCTCGAGCGGTTGCATCATCTGGACAGCCTCCACTACGCAGAGCTCCACCAAGATCAGGGCCGGGATCACCACTGCCAGGAACGCACCTTTGACTGAATGAGAAGAACCACACATGCCGAAACACGATTCAACCGTATCTAAAGAATTCAACTGTACCTAGCCTCAGAGGGAGGACTTGACTCTCTTGACTCTTGCCAAGGGGAAGAGATGGCCAGGGACCAGCCGGATCATTGGTCGCTGCACCATGAGGACGTCAATGCGTATATGGACTCTAGGCTATGGTGGCCATGTCTTTTGCCGAAGTCTGTTTTTGCGTTCTCTTGCCTGTGGCCGGGCCGAATAAGGAATGTCTCTGCGTCCAGAGGAAGCCGTCCCTGGTGTGCGAGGCGACACCTTCACCTGAAGCACCGCCCTTTTGTGCTCTTTACTTCGGGTGATGTGAGGCCATCCACCATGAAGGCGTGCTCAACGCGGCAGACCACGTTGTTCAGATGATGCAGGAGCTTTCAGAGCCTGCTTTTCACACCCAGAGCTCCTCCCCAGTCGGCCCCATTCAAATTCACAACTGCAAGTCCTGAGCAAGTTGTAGAGTTGGGAAGGTGCTTACACTCTTTCAGCTTTGCCCTGACCTTTCTCATCTGTTCTGTAAGGTTTTTCGACACGGCCGCCTTGAGTAGCCTTTGGGATCTGATGTGTTTTGGTCAGCTATTTCTCTATGCTCCTTGTGTGAGTGTGTGTGTGTGTGTCTGTCTGTTTGTGTGTGTGTGTGTGTCTGTGTGTGTGTGTGTCTGTCAGTCTGTCAGTCTGTCAGTCTGTCTGTCTGTCTGTCTGTCTGTCCGTCTGTCTGTGGCTTACCATGCAGAGTCTTGTGGCTTCGAGTGGGGTACAGTGGAGTGCGCACTTGGGCCAGCTTATGCTCATGATGGCTCATGGGTTTGTCTGTGTGTGAGTAAGTGAGTGAGCGAGCGAGCGAGCGAGCGAGCGAGTGAGTGAGTGAGCAAGCAAGCAAGCACGCAAGAAAATATGTACGTAAGTAAGTAAGCAAGCGTCAGCCGTTTGGAGATGCATCCGCACAGCTCATTCCCAGGAGCACTTTGAGGAGCTCAACGCTGAGGGCTCAGGCCAGCATCCCCCAATCGAATGGCACCGTGGAATGGGTCAAATGACCTCGGAGCTCCAGACCTACTCGAACAGCAGCCAGGACGGACGCAGAGGTCAGAAGCCTCTGAAAAGCCCTCCTGGCAAAGCATGCGTGAAGAAAGCCAGTAGAAAGACATTGGGATTTTTTGATGCTACAGAGTCTACTCCCCTCTGATATATCCAACGTCTTCAGAGTGGCCTCCCCTTTCTTCAGAGCTAGGAAAGCCTGATGAGAGGACTTGGGATTTGCAATCCCACTGGGACCTTGCGATGCCGACGCGCTCAGCTGCCAGGTCTGCGCCGCTCGAGCCGGGAGATATTCTCACGTTGAGTTCGTGGGTGCGTGTTTTTTTTGTAGACGCACGTTCGGATGATGTTCCTATGCAGCCAAGGTGAAGAGCTTCTGCCTTTCCGCGCCCTTCCCAAAGGCGGGCCACATCTGAAATCTGCACTGCAGTTCTGAGAGGTTCCCCACCAGCACCCCTAAACCCTACATAAACCCTAAACCCTACTGGTTTCGCCCAGTCTTGGGAACTCTGAGGCCGAGGACGACAGCGATGCCCCCCCGACGCCTGGGGATCAGGCGATGAATGTCCTTGGGGCCATGAGGCGAGAGGGAGACAATAATTCAATGTAGGGTGTAGGCTTCAGGGTTCAGGATTTCACAAGTCAGGCTCGGGGGTAGTGTCGTTGGCAGGGTTTGTGGTAGCTTTGAGCTCCTGGCAGGTCTTGTCAAGAGCTGTTGGTGCGATTTGCGCCGTTAGATCTCTCGCCCTCTGCCTGCCTGTGCCATCTTGTCTGGAAATGCAACCCTAAACCCTATAGTTCCTGAACCCAAGCTGCGGCTCTCACCCGAAAGTGCACTGTGCGTGGTGCGTGGACGGATACCTGTGCCCACAGGGACATGACAGAACACCATGCAGCGTCACCCTAAGTAGACAGCAGGGGAGGGAAGCCCGTGGCGAGGCAAGGCCTGGACGCGCCCTCGTCGCCGTGCTGCTGGGCTCAGTTCTCAGGGCTCCTGCATGGCCCAGAAAATCAGTTCGGGCTCGCGCGCCGAGACCCGAATGTGTTGCAACAAAAATAACAACAAAAGCCGTTTAAGGCTTAAGGGGCAGTAGAAGTTCTCTGAAATGTGCACGAGCTGATCCACCAACCGCACACTGGAGGTCGCTGTTGGGCCTTTGTAAGATGTAAGAGCCCGGGCAGGAGCAAGCAAATTTGGGTTTAAGAAAATGGCCCGCAGCGACTGCGAACAAAAATACGTGGTGTGTCACTTGGGATCTAAAGTCCATCACGACCCGCCAAGGCTTCAGCGTGGACTGCACGGCCTGTATCGGCCTCAAGCCGGCTGACCCGGTGAAGTTCAAGACGCCTGGCAGGAAAGCATCGAACCTCTGCAAGTTCTTTCAGCCCCAGTGTCCCTAGATCACCCTAAGCCCTAAACCCCAAACCCGCCGATGACATCGAATCCGCAGCCGAGTCTGAACGTGGGGGCTTCTGGCGCATGTAGCAGCAAGCACGCCTTCTTCAGCTCCTTCGTCTTGTGGATCGGCTTGCAGGCGATACACCCCGGGGAGGACCCTAAACCCCAAACCCTCCTCGCCTGGCTTGTCCGAGTTGTGAGAGCGTAAACCCCTTTTAATCATGGACCTCGCCTGGCATGTCCGAGCCGTGCGAGCGTAAACCCCTTTTAATCGTCAGAGCGTTAAACCCCTTTTGAACCCCAAAGTTTTTCTGCTTGCAGGTCTGTGTCGCCGGCGGTCCCTTGGAGAAGCTCCTGAAGCTGATCCGCAGGGACCAGGCCCCGCTTCCTTGCAGTGCCTTTCTTTTGTTTAGGGTTTAGGGTTTAAGGTTTAGTCTTTTTGTGCCTGTTGCTGGCCCAACGCCAGATCTGCATCGATTTCCCTACCCTTGCCTCCTTTCCATCAATTTAGCAGGTTTTTTTGAGGCTTTGCTCACAGGTTTCGTGATTGCTGTTGGTAGAAGCTAGAAGGTTTCTGGGAAATTTGGGTGCAGCTGAGGAGTACTACCCTTTCGTGGGGAAGATGGGCATTACGTGGAGCTGGCAACCGGCCTGGATGCTCAAAGCCGTGAAGCTGGATGTTTCAGCCTACTGGCCTGTGCACGGCCTGGCGCCTGCAGCAACTTGACACCGTCTTCCGAGCCCGCTTTTTTGGTCGGTACTGCCTGCGAAGCTTTTTGTTAACCCACAGCGGGAAGAGTGGAGACCCCGGTAACTTGCTTTTCCCTCACTTCGTGTCCGAAAAGCCCTCTCAAGTCCCTTCTCTTTCCGCTCCCCCCCACCCCCCACCCAGGTGAAGAAGTACTGCCGGTGGCACCCCGCCACGCAGTTCCCAGGCTTGAAGGAATTTTCTAAGATCGACTTGCTTCTGCCTCTTTCAGTGGAGAGAGAGTATGCCTTGTACGGTCAGCAAAAGAGCTGAGGTGGCCGGAGGTGAGCCAGGCAGACAAGGATTATTTCGAGTGGTATTGGTGGTGGTGGAACCAACAGCACCTTTCCGGTCATTCTGATCCTGTTCGGGGATTGCGTCGGTTGCTCCTTTTTGTCCAAGGCGTCCCATTTGCTTACTTGAAGCCAGCACTAGGACCACAGCCGAAGAAAGATCTTCCGAGGTACGGAGGTGGAGGCTGGCACCAGGCATGCGCAGAGTTCAATTACCAGTACCCTGGATGCCATTGGGATCACCACAAGGCGCGCAGGGCGTAAGTGGGGTTCCGTCCCAAAAGCTCGTAATCACCTTCAACCCCGAAACCCCTAAACACTCAACCCTAAGCCCCTAAACCCCAAACCCTCAACCCCTAGACCTTGAACCCCTAAATCTAAACCCCTAAACCTTAAACCTATAAACCCTTAAACCCGCTAAACCCCTAAGAAGGAACCCCACAGAACTCACGTCAGGCGATCATGGCCTGCCGCGCGTACTTCTTGGAGGGCCGAAGGCGGAAGCCACTAAAAAAGTTAGAGAGTTTGGTGGCTTTAGGGGTTTAGGGGTTTATAGGGTTTAGGGGTTTAGGGGTCAATTAGCGGTTTAGGGGTTTGAAGGGGGTGTAGGGGTTTAATTTAGGGGTGTACAGGGGTTTCGGCGGTTTAGGGGTTTAGGGTTTAGGCGGTTTAGGGTCAAGCATGGAGATGATCAGAGGTCGGCTTCACTCTTCAGTCTTGTCTGCCTGTGCCAGGTCGGTCGTTTTCGCTGTGTACTGCCGTGGCCGGGATTTGAAGATGAAGGAGCGTTATAAGAAATCGTTTCGTTGAGCAACAGCCCAACATTTGTCTATCCCGGGTTGCTTTCGCAGCCATCTTCGGGAAGAAGATTCATTGAATCACTGAAAGCACTCGTTCTTTTTCGAAGCGAGTCGGCGGTGCGCACGTTGTTGGGAGACCTTGCCGACCCGACCCCGATGTTTCAGTTTCGTTTGAGGCTGTCCGAGCCAAATCTTCCTTAACAAGGGGTCGTATCCAGATTTGCCAGCGGTGCTCCAGCAAAAAAGCCTGCGCGTTGGCACTTCTGCAGCTTGTGTTCCATGCCGGAAGTTTCGGGCTTAGGGTTGGCGCGGATTTTTGCATTCTCGACGGCATCATCATAGAGCAGAAGTCAGCAACAAAAAGGACGTTTTCCAGTCATCTGGCGCAGACTAGGAGTCAAAGGTTGGGAGGGTCTTGATACGGTCGGGGTTTAGGGTTTAGGGATTAGGGTTTAGGATATGGAGCTTCCATGCTTTTCTTTGTTTCCATGAGATGGAGCTGTGGGTGTTGGTTGCAGCACATGTGCCTGTTCGGAGACAGGCCCTTGTTTAAGGCACGGAGCCACAGACACTTCAATGGCTTGAACCAGTGGGCGCCCACAGATTCCTAGACTTTCTGCAATCCCCTAAACCCTAAACGTTCGTCTCCTGGAGGGAAAAAACGTTCATCTCCGGTGGAATGCGCCCAAAAGCGTGCCAAGCAGCACACCGGCACCGAAAGGCGGGGGAAAAGAAGGCGGAGTTGCCACTTTCGGCGCTTGGGATTATTGTTTTTTTTGGCGGGGTGGGGATTATAGGGTTTATAGGGCTTAGGCTTTAGGGTTACATGACCGGGAGCCTTGTGGCACACCAGCGTGATGGCCAAGAGCCAGAGACGCTTGGTTCCATGGAACGTGTGCAGCTAAGTCGCGTGCAACAACGCAGCAGTAGTAAGTAGTAATTATGATGATTTGCCGGAGCCTTCCTCGCAAGAAGCCCAAGCTGGATCCTGTAGGAACTGCGGATAGAAGTTTCGCGAATAAAGCATCGAAAGCATCGCGAACTGCTGACACCTCCGAATGTTGTAGAGCCGTCTCTCCTGGAAGCTGGCCTACCTCCGAGCTTGGCATGGGGTGGGGGGTTTAGGTTTAGGGTTTTGTAGAAAGGGCAGTCAGCTGTGGCCAGTCAAAGCAGTGATCCGCTGGTCTTTCCGTTTGCACTCAGGGGAAGGCTACGAAGTATGCCCTTTGAGTCGTCGCTTGTAGCTGAACCAGAGTACCAACTGTACAATATCGTACTCAGTAGCTACGACAAGCTTTTACGACAAGCTTCTTGACTTTGTGTTTCGTGAAAAACTTGGAAGCCCGCGAGGGTGCGCAGAGCCATGTCTGCATAAGCCATTTTCTGGTGCGTTTATCACAACGTGGAGCGCTGTGATTTCTAGGTTATGAGCGCCCAAACGTTTCCTGCCGGAGTGCCAAATGGCACGGATTCCAGAGGGGATGGGCCTGTGGGCGGCTCGAGTGGAGCCGTGGAGACAGGGGAGGCTGGAATGCAATCCAGCGTGATCCGAGGCGATGAGCAGTTGCGAGACCTGAATGGAAGCCTGGCTGGGCTAGCAAGTTCGGATCTGCAAGGCGATGGCGTGGGGAGAGTTCCCCCAAAGTCAGAGACTGTAGCGGCGACAGGCGACGGCACACGCGGAGGTGCAAAATCAACCACCGACGATGCTGGACACCGACGGGCGATGTGGTTTGGGAATAGAGGAGCTTACCCAGCAGGCTGCCAACGCTGCGGGTGGATTTGTTACACCGCAGTCTGGAAGTCGTGTGAGGACACCACCACCTTGGTGGACAGCTGTGGAAATACCAAAGTGGATGATGCGGCTGGGTAGCATGCTGCAACATCCTGCTCAGGGGCTGACGTCTGCAGAGCTGGCGCCGAGTCCACTGCCGAGTGGAAGTCCTCTTTTGACTTCACCACCAGGCGGCCAACCTTTTAGATTGAGGTCGCCTACGCGAATGGCGGCAAGGGCTATACCTCCGGCTCCTACTCCACCATCCTCATCCAGTATCCCACAAGAAGCAATACAAGCAGAGGTGGAGAGACAGCTACAGGGTGTTATGGGTCAGCTGAGGGAGTTCGGGGAGGCAAACCAAAGGCTACAAGTGGAGCTTTTGGAGACGAGAGCAAGGCTTCGTGTGGAGCAAGAGAGGGTTGAAAGCTTGGGGTCTTTGACTAGGCCTCGTGGACTACTTGAAGATCTCGGAGTATCCCAGCTAGATCCGGGCCCTCTACCTGGATTACCAGAGCAACGGGATCAACAGCCGTATGTGAACCAATTTCAGTTTCAGGGAGGTGAGGAAGCAAGGGGTGATCCACGACTTCTATCACGTGACGATACAGGGTCAAGGGATCCAGGAGGAGCAAGTGCAAATCAATCTGGATTACCTGAAGTCCCTAAAGCCCCACCCGCACAGGAAACTGGATTTGCAGAAGGCCCTAGCCTGTTAAGTTCATGGTGGGATGCACGTCCACGACGAACAACACCGCCTCCGAGATCAACGCCTGCGGAACAGCAAGGATCTCCCGTGTTAGAAGCACCGGCACGTGGAGTTCAGCAGCTTCAGGAGTTGCAGGTAAAGGCACTCGAAAAGGCTTCGTCTACAACCACAACAGAGCAAGTCCAGCCGGGCACATTGTCTTTGTCTCCATTGCCCTCCTTGTCAGATGGGGCAGATTCAGCATTAACTTTTCAGGACTGGATGGAAATGTCTGCAGCGGTTATGTCTGATATTAGTGAGTCAAGTGGCACAGCTTTGGTTGAGGATACATATGTACGATGGCTCGCATCTTCCCCTCTGGAACGACTCGCAGTGGAACCAACAGGAACCGAGCAGTGGTGCGAGGGCAAGTGGCAGCGCGTCAATGCAAGGGCCTCGTCAATGCTATTAGCTTCAATGCCTACTGAATTGCGTGCTGACATGGTGTCGCGGCGATGCGCAAAGGATTGTGTGAAGATGCTATTTCATCTATACAAGCACTTTCAACCTGGAGGTTCTGCAGCAAGGCAAGATGTGCTAAAGCGACTGCAAGCTCCAAGTGATTTTGCCGTGAGCGATACTTTGGAAGATGCTTTGAAGGTTTTGAGGGCATGGCCAAGGTGGATGGACCATTGCAAGGCGGTGCAGATGACTCCACCGGACCCGTCTGTACTCGCCAGAGGGTTGCAGAGTTTGACAGCAAAGCATATAGATGCTTCACCAGACGCGTCTTTTCGAACTTCGATGCTTCGTACCACCTTGCGACGAGACGCGAGACCAAGTCCTGAGCAGGTTGTGGCCTACCAGAAGCACCTACAAGCAGAGCTCGAAGTTATGCAGACAGCAAAGGCGGTGGAATCGACACCTGGGCAGCCTAAGTTGCGTGCTGTGGACACTGGTTTGCAGCCTAAGGCCAAGGATGCAGCTGGTAAAACTTCGAGGTCCACGGAGCTGTGTCGATATTTCGCTAAGGTATCTGGGTGTAAACGCGGGGACAAGTGCACCTACTCCCACAGTTTGCAATCTTTCGATAAAGAGACAAGATCCCGCAAGTGCCTGCGATGTGGAGCAGAAGGTCATCGTCAACGTGAATGCCCAGTTGGAAGGACACCCGCCAAGGCAGTCACAGCAGCGACAAAGGATGGCGCTCCTAACAAGCCATCGGGGGAGGTAGTCCAACCTCTACCCAGAGCACGATGGCTACGATCGGAACTACCACCTCGGGGCAAAGCACGCTGAATGAGCCGGTGCAGGGCACAGCTTGGACATTGGAGACACGGGTGCAAGCAGCTCAGCAGATGGTGCAGAACTCTTCTACTACCTCTACAGGTCAAACCTCACCAGAAAAACAAGGCCAGAGGTCAAGGTGATCAACTTATGCGATATCCGCATTTGCTCGATGAAGGCTAAAGCTACAGCTCTTCTGGATAGCGGAGCTACACACAGCTTGAGGAGTGCAGTTTCCGAGGACGAATGGTCTCAGGCTGAAGATGTGGCGGTGCAGCTTGCAGGGAGTCAAAAACATGATGAAGATCACGACCACCGGTACCTTGCTGATGCCGTTCAAGGGTGGAAAAGCTGGTGAGGCCGCACCTCAGGCACTACAAGCGCAGACGGACGATTGTGTCTTTGGGGCAGCTGATAAAGACTTTAGGCTACTCTATGGTGTGGACCCCAGACAGCTGTGAGCTCATTTCTCCGGATGGTGAGAGAATGTTTTTGCAAGTGGATAGTGGTTTCCCGCAACTCCAAGGATTGGAGGCTTTGGCCTTAATCGCGCGCTTGGAGGACAGAAAGGTCGAGCAGCTACGCAATGCCACTATGCTTACAAGGGATCATGTTGGAGTGGCTGCAGTGGCAATGGACAAGCATTGGAACCACTACTTGTATGATTATGTTGTCACCGGATGTTTCGAATCAGGTCTGCGAGCTGTGCGAGACGCACCCTTTTTCCAGGATGTCCCTGGGGATTGCTTGGCGCAGATGATACCTTCAGCTGGTCTGCAATCAGGATGGGACATTATGAAGCAAATGGGTGGTTGACACCGGCGCAGCGACGCAAGCTGTGGAGTTCAAAGAGATGGATAGTGCACTTGTTCGCCGGTGTAGAAGGGCACTGGCAAATCATGCGTTTGGATCAGGGTGATGCCATGGTCATAGAGCTGGACTCGGCAAGATGCGCGGGCCAAGACCTGTTGCGGTCTGAAACCTGGAGAATGTTACTCTGGGGAGCAGTCACGGGCAAGGTTGATGTGGTTATGGGTGGTCCACCAGACAGGGTTCACCAGCACTGCCGAGGAGGAGAGCGTGATACAAAGGCGCTTCAGTTGATCGCACGCATGATGTGGTTGTTTGTGGTCGCACAAGTTGGTAGAGAGGTTCATGGCTATCAGCGAGACGTGGGCTTTATCTTGGCGTACCCGGAAGGTATATCAAAGCAAGAGCGAGATCGGCGTGACCATGAGGTGGAGCAGATGGAGGATGCGCAGCGAGTTGGTGGTAGATCTAGAGAAACTGCAGGCTGGTACTAGTACCAGTCCCGAGCCTACTGGGAAACAGTACAGCGCCCAAGATGGGAGGCCTATGCTGGTGTGAGTACAGTCAATGCTGAGGTTTCTTTCTGGGATACACGGCTCTGACTGGAAGTTCTTCCAGCGAGAGGCCCAAGCCCAACAGATATCATTTGATCAAGGGTCTATGGGTGGTCACACGATCAATCGCACTACATTGGGCACGAATATTCATAGTCTTCTGGCACTTGATGAGGTCAGGGTTCTGGAAGACGAGGAGATGCCTGAGAGGGGTGAGCAGAATTATATATGGTCCCCAGGACTGGTCAATGCTATTGTGGTGGCTGTGGGTATCTGGTATCAAGAAGGTCGCTGTGTACCAAGGGTGAGCGCAATGACTCCGGCCAAGTGGAAGCAGCACGTGGAGTCCAACCATGCCGAGTATCGGAGGGACTGCGCGACCTGCGTGATGGCAAGAGACGTGGGAAGACAACATAGGAAAGTTCACCATCCAGAATCTTACACGCTTACTTCAGATGTTGCTGGACCGCTGAACCCTGGGTTGGACGCCACGTCCAAGGGAGCAATGGGGAAGAACCTACGCTATCTTCTGGTGGCAAAGTACCTAGTGCCCAAGATGTTTGTCGAGAATATAGCGGGGAAGCATCCTCCAGATGACCATGGTGTTACGAGAGACAAGCAAGGTCAAGCGAAGCCAGAGGATTCCATAGTCTCCCTACCTGAAGGTGATTTACAAACCATTGAGGAGTTCTTCAAGGAGCACAAGGACGGGAAGTCTCGGGAGCCAGAGCCTATATCGGTTGGAGTTCTCAACATGGCTGGAGAGGACCCGTTTGAGGAGATTGAAGCCGAGGAGGAGCCGTCGTATGAGCCATCATATGAGCCGCCTGATGTGGAAGATGAGGAGGAAGATGTGCAAGGTGGGAGTGATCGAATACCTGATGTGTTGATGCAGCAGGGAGACTGCGAAGCGCCGGCAATGACCTACCTGACCTTCTCTACAGCTCTTCCCAACAATCGCTCCGGGACAGTGAGACAAGCTGTTCAGGATATCGTCCGCTACCTCCAGATGCACGGAATGCCCGTGTACAGATTCCACTCGGATACGGGCGAGTTCTACAACCGCCAATTCCGCTCATGGTTATGGGAATATTTGGTACATGGTCCGAACCCAGTGTGCCGCAGTCCAACGGACACGCAGAATTAACGGTCCGTTGGGTGAAAGACCGCGCCAGAACGCTATTGCAGGCAGCATCTTTGCCTGTAAAGTTGTGGCCAGTGGCTGCTTCAATGGCAGCAGCGGAGCAGCGTTCAAAGGTGCTGAATTGGAAAACTAAGCTGGCTGCGCCGTTCGGTTCAAAGGTGCATCTACGGAAAAAGGCTTTCGACAAGTATGGTCCACTTCGTCGCGAACAAGGGTTGGACTAAGTACGATAGTCCACAACGAGCATGTGGTCTACATACCCGAAGAGGGTGAAGAGAAAGAGGGATTTCTTCACACGCTACATGTTCGTGCAGATCTTATAGACTCAGGAGCTCCGACTACAACGTTCCACGTGGAGAGTGCACCAAAGCCAAAAAGGAAGGTTGCTACTAAGACGGACCCGCAGGATGTCGAGATGAGGGTTGTGGGGAAAGTCAGTGGTGACACCAAGGAGCTAGCAACGTCAAGGGCTGGGGAATTACTCACAGATTGGTCAACGGAAGGTGCATTGAATTTGGTGAGTACCTTGGCTGAGCATGGGTTTTTCCAGTCGCAAAAGTTTGGCGTATATCGACATGGTGGAACAGTTGGGTGGCTCAACGGTCTGGTGGAGTACAAAGAAGTTGCCCAAGTGCTGGTGCGACTGATGCTGGAGGCAATGCCGGAAGCTACGTTTACATCAGTGATGGTCTCGCACAACAGCCAAAAAGGGATGCACGAGGACTTTAACAACGACTACCAGACCAGCAACTATGTTTTGCCATTATGCGTGCCTGAAGATGGTGGGGACCTTTGGGTGGAATTAGCTGCAGGAGATACCGTTCTGGGAAAAATCGAGAAGAAAAGCACTGGAGCACAGGATGTGTATGGTCAGTGGAGGCAGCTTGAGCAATCAAGGGTCATTCAGTTTCCTCCGAACCGGTATCACGAGGTGATGCCTTGGACTGGTACAAGAACGGTGCTGATTGCTTACACACCCGATTGCCTGGGGAAGTTGACAGCAGATGACCTTAAAATCCTGCACGATCATGGTTTTCCAATACCTATCTCACAGCTGCCGGAATATCATGGTGACATGACTAATGGTAACACATTGCCGACAGTTTCTGCAGCAGGGGTGAAGGATGATGGTGATGAGGATTCCAGTTGCTCACCGTGGCTCATGTATTTGGACCTGGACCCAGGCTGTGTGCAGATCCCCAATGAGACGGATGGTGAAGACTCGCCACCTATGGTTTGCAAGACTGAGGTGAGCTTCACGCACAACATCGAGGGAGTTCTGAAGGCGTTGAAGGACCTCTTGATGTAACGCATACAGTTAATCCAGATGAAGTTTTTGCAAACCTTGAAGCTTTGGCACCCAGCAATATTGAAGGAGATTCAGGGCATCGAGGTTGCAATCAAACGGTTGCCGCCCGGGAGGGAGGCCCGAGCTGAGTGGCTGAGCAAACCAGGTATACAAAGACTACCAATGAAATTCGTTTTTACAGTCAAACCCAAGACCCTGCAACGCGTCATCGTCTACGTGGACGACTTTATGATTTGCGGGCCAAGGGAAGCGGTGCAAGAGCTTTCCGAGGCAATACAGGAAGTCTGGGAAACGTCGGATTTGTCTTTTCTGGGTCCACACAGCTCATTAAGATTCCTGGGTATGGAGCTGAAGCGTGAGGAAGAGACGAGTGATGTTATTCATGTGTACCAAGTTGGATACCTCACCGAGCTGCTGAGAACCCACAATATACAGCCAACCCAGCAAGACAAAGTACCAATTACCAAGGAGCTGGCTGTCTTACCAGAGGTTGCGGAAGCAGGTGATCCAGAACTGGTACGTGAAGCCCAGCAGATAACAGGAGAAGTGTTATGGGTGTCACAGAGAACTAGACCGGACCTGTCATTTACTACGTCCATAATGGCAACTCTTTGCTCGAAGGGCCCTTCTCAAGCAGTCAGTATCGGGCAGAAAGCACTACGTTAATCTGCAAAGGACGTCAGAGGTTGGCCTGATGGTGCAGTGGAAGGACCAGGGTCTGGTGATGTTCTGTGACGCAGCCTTTGCGCCGCAAAGGGCTCGCTCTCATGGTGGGTGGGTCGTGACATATGGCGGCGTGCCAATCGCATGGCGCAGTGGGCGCCAGACGATGATAGCTCTAAGTACAGCCGAGGCAGAGCTTATGTCAATGCTTGATGGGGCAGTGGCGACCAAGGGAGTCGAGGCTTTGCTACAGGACATCGGAGAGCAGGTTCACTCACGCAGAATCTCATCCGATAGTACTTCAGCACTCAATATAACAACTGGTTCGAGCTCGTGGCGAACACGCCACTTGCGAATTAAAGCGAACTGGTTGATGGAGCAGATAAGCAATGGCTTATTCACAGTGGAGCATTGCCCAGGAGAACGACAACCCGCAGATTTGTTGACCAAGGCATTAAGTGCAGCAAGAATCGATGCGTTATTATCCTGGTGGGGAATTGGCCGCCAAGTACAGCAACCAAGGGTGGCTCATGTTGTACCCCATGTTTCCTCAAGGGCGGTGATTGCATTGATTTGTTGCATATTGATGGTCTCGGCACGAGCGGCAGAAGATTCTCCTCGTGACCAGGGTGTGCAAGTGGATTGGGACACAGTGAGTATTCTGGTGGTCTTGCTGGCAATCTTGGGAGCATTGTGTATCTGGGAATTGATCCGATGGGGTTTCATTATCTTCATCAACGAGTACACCCCAGGTGCAGATTCAAGAAGGCTGAAAAGGCTCCGGAAACTCCAGACAGCTACAACGAAGGCTATTGAGCGGGAGCTTACACGGCTACAAAGGCAGCAGGAGGATGATGGAATGGCACAGCCGACTATGCCACGATCAAGTCCAAGCCAACAGTCGGCTTCAACTATGAGGACAGAGACTTCAGAAACCCAGAATGGTCTTCAAGCTTCGTCCTCATCATCACGGAGAGAAGGTCCCGATGAGACTTTAAGACTGAGGAGCAGAGGAGTGCAGCGAACACCAAGTCCGAGAGCACGACCCTCCGCAGTTATTCTATCTCCAACACACTGTTCACCGCCGCTGAGATCTGATGAAGAAGCAGATGACAAGGAGCGGGTGGTGCATGATGTGTGCTATTTGCTACAAGCGGATATCCTGACCGAAGCTCTCCGTACAGAAGGGTTACCAGTGTCGGGGCTAAAAGAAGATAAGACAAGGAGGATAAGCGCACGTCTGTGTTCGTTGATGATTACAAGGTCGGGGCCAACAGTGAGACAGCTAAAGTATGTCCTGTGGCTGTGGCGTGTCAAGAGTATGAGTGGAAGGCATGCCTTACGATACCACGAGATCAACGACCGTGGCCGTGTTTCCTCGCTGATTGCCCAGTGGAAAGAGCGTTAAGCATTCCTAGCCTGGCGACGGGAATGAGGAGGAGTGTAGAAAGGGCAGTCAGCTGTGGCCAGTCAAAGCATTGATCCGCTGGTCTTTCCGTTTGCACTCAAGGGAAGGCTACGAAGTATGCCCTTTGAGTCGTCGCTTGTAGCTGAACCAGAGTACCAACTGTACAATATCGTACTCAGTAGCTACGACAAGCTTTTACGACAAGCTTCTTGATTTTGTGTTTCGTGAAAAAACATGGAAGCCCGCGAGAGTGTGCAGAGCCATGTCTGCATAAGCCATTCTCTGGTGCGTTTATCACAACGTGGAGCGCTGTGATTTCTAGGTTTCGGGTGCCTCTCAATGCGGGGAGCGTGTGCGGGCACTGGAAAAACTTTGGAGTCGCAGGGATGACCCTTTCACAGCTGATGGTAGCCATCCCTAAAGTGGCATGTACGGATTTTTTGCGAGAAAGCCGCCTGTTCAAAACCTCGCCAATAAGGCCGCGAGGCTGAAATGAACAGCTGGCTCGGCGTTTGCTATTTCAT